ATGAAAAGTAAAGCGCGCCGTTTTGGACACCTCGGTTTGGGCCTGTGTTCACAGCGTGATGCTAAGTGCATTCCAGTATGCTATGTGTCTCTAGGAATTTGCTGATCATCTAACACCGCCCTTATAGCATCTGGAATGCAATGTGCGCATGGCTTCATGGTTCGTTCTGTGGCGCTGTTGGCCAGGTGCCCACATCCTTCATGATGGTAGCACGTACTTGTCCTTCCCATGTGCCAGTGTTGTCTCTCTAGGGTGAAACGTGTGTTCTGCAGCAACTCAGTCATCTGCTGCTTTGCTTCGTTCTCGGTTTCTTTTGATCTCTTCTTCCACAGCTCGGCCACTTCCCAAGCCTTGGCAGTGTCTTCTGCCATTCTCTCCATCTCCATTGCTTTCTCATCATCTGTTCCGGCCAACCTGATGGCCTTTCTTTTGGCTTCATCTCTTTCTTCCTTCACATTCTCCAGCTCGAAGCGTAGCTCAGAGCACATGTTGTACATGCGCACCACTTCTCTTGCTTGTAGATCTCGATCTCGTCGGGCATCTGTCAGCTTCTCCTCATGCTCAGCAATGGCTACTTCCAAACGAACGATTTGCCACTGCATGTTGACTTTTTCTTCATCTTCATTTTGCCAAAGGTGTGCCCTTTGAACCTCATCTGTGTTTGCCTCATTTCTCACAAGCGGTCTTGCGACCACATTCACAGCTCCTTCATTCTCATTCTCCTCGATGGGCTCTTCATGGAAGACGAACTCATGGCCCCAATGGCCATTCGTGCCAGGCTCAAGGCCCCAATGCTTGCCAAACAGATCATGGTGATCAATGGCCGAATCCACCAAGCCTCATCACTTCCATCTTCACCTTCTTCTGGGTGCTCGACTTCCGCTCCTTGGCCTCCTTGTAGCAATGACAAAGCGATCACCAGGGCCACCTTAGCATTTGCACCCATCATCTTTGCCATCTTTCCTGTGTTCTTCTTCAGCTGCTCCTTGGCCTTTATCTCTTCATATTGCTGCTTCCCAATCTTTTCGTCATCCATGTCGACCATCTTGATCAAGAATTTCAGGCCACTCATTCTTGCCCTGCTCAAAACCTTGGTTCCAATGTCGCTGGTGTTGACGGCTGTGGGGATGCCTGTAATCCTCAACTCCTTTGCAACCACTTTCTGTTGAAGCCACAACAAACCAGCTGCAATGTGGCGTGTACGCCCCACTCCAACTCGACCTGCAAGAGCCCGAGCCGCTGATGAATCACTGCGGCAAATCATGTCCAGGTCTTCGTTGGTCAAGAACTTCCAGCAGTGCTTCAGAAAGAGTCCTTCACTGCATCCACCGACCATGGCCACATACTCGCTTTCTCCTGACGAGAGTGCAATGACTCTTTGACTTCTCACACAGCTCTCCAGCAAGCACCCATCCAGGTAGATCTGGACTGAACTGACACTCTTCCTTGTGTCTCGCTGGCCTGCATGGTCGGCGTCACACACCACCTCCGGCATGCTCTTCTTCTCTTCATTGAGATCCCATTCATAGATGTTGTCATCATCATTTAGCATGCTTCTTCCTCTGGGTCCGTGCTCGGGACCGTGCTCGAACAACAGTCCTTCGTCCATAGTCCCCAGGAGATACGAACTCACGTGTTGCATGGCTTGCCAGCTCTTCTTTGTTGGCTGTTGCATGAAACCAGCTAAGCCCTGGGCAACATACTGGACGTCAGGACGATCAGGGGAGATGTAGAGCAGCTTTCCCACACAACTTCGATACTTGGTGATGTCCTCATACTTCATGGGCTCATCATCTTTGCTCAGTCGATTGAAGGTTCCATCACCAGGGGTCGTTCGATGCTTCCGGTGCTCCACATTGGTGAGTTTGGCCAGTTCCTTGATGTGTTGCTTGTCTGGCCTCAATCAACTCCATCTCTCGCTTCAAGTAACTGAAGCTCCCCATGTAGAGTGGACCTCGCTTCTCTGTCTTCCAGCCTTTGCTTCCCATGTAGCTGATGAACTTCTCCACTTCCAGCTCATCGCCAACCAGAAGTAAATCATCGACGTGGATTGTGAGGTATAGCTTTCCACCTGTCTCACTGCCTTTAGGTGTTTCTGGCTTCTTCATCATGGTAGGCTGCATCGTGTCTTGCACCAATCCAAACTCTGTTGCAACCTTGCAGAAACCCTTGAACCATTGGGCGGCAGCATTTCGTTGTCCAGATAGATTTCGCTTCAGCCGGTAGGTACCATTTGCAGTCACCACCAGCGCTTTCTCGTCTTCTGGCTGGTCCATCAGCAGGAATGCATCTTTCACGTCAAGAGTGTAAAGTGCCAGTCCACTCTTCATCTGCAGTCGAAGGAGCATCCTCACGATCACTGATGCAGATGTTGGTGCGAAGGCATCTTCAGTAAAGACTGACCACTTAAACTGCCTTCCAACCAACCTTGCTCTCCTGAACCAGCCTCCTTTCTCGTCCCTGTGCTTCCAGGTGATGACCATCTTTGATGTCAGCACATAGGATCCTTCTTCTGCTTGTTCATTCTCCTTCAGCTTTTCGAGGACGCCCATCTTTTCCAGCCTTTCTTCTTCATGCCTGCATGCTTCAGCATCCAGCATTGCTAGCTCTTCCTCATCGACTTCAGGTGGCTTGCCAATTCCTTTCTCCTCGCCTTCATCTTCACTGATCTGGTTGAGCTCCTCTTGCAAGATAGCTCGTCTCCACCTGGAAAATCTTCTTGGATGCTGTTCACTCTTCGTTTCGGACTCATCCTCCTCTTTTCAACATCCTCGTCATCCCAGGGTAAGGCGTACTCTCTTTTCGTGCCCAATGGCGGGGTGACTGGTGCCAGATTGCCCACAATCTCCTCCAACCTCTGCTTCTTTGGGCTTGCTTCAGACTCCAATGCTTCTGGCATGAAGTTTCTTGCAGGTTCACCTCGCATTGCTTCTGGGATTGGCAACCTTGCCATCTTTCGCTTTGAGACCTCTATCTCCTCGGCTTGAACCTTCTGATGTGCCTCCTTTGGACCTGAGGATGAACTCATGGCTTCTCTTGGCGGCTCTGGTGCCACTGGAGTCTTGGGCACTGAACGCGCCGGTGTTGCAGGCATAGGCATAACCACTGGTGTTCGTAGTGCCGGTGTCTTGCTTGCTGGTGTTGGAGCTGCAGGTGTTCTGGCCGGTGTCTTTGGATAGCCTTCTGGAGCAGGACCTGGTGTGATAGGACCATGTCCGTACATTCTCATGGCCACCTCCTCACCAACCATCTTTGCTTCCTTCTCCACTTGCTCTTCACCTGTGGCTTCTTCAGCTGCCTCAGCCAAGCGTTGTCTTGCCGCGAACTTGGTCTTCATGAGAATGCCTTGGACCGAGTATTGCCACGGGAGTCCACGGCAATGGATCAGCATCTGGCCATCAAACTGATCTGGAAGTCTTCTGATGGAACGGGCCTCTACTGCTCCAGACCTTGTCAGGCATATGTGGCTATCGCTCCATGAACTCTTGCCAACCCAGACACCTCGTCGATAAACAGGTTCCCCTTTGCGCTTGAAGGAGGTGACATCCTTGAAGAGCACGGTCTCACCCCATAGTGCCACCCTGCCAACATATTGACGATCTGTGAGCATCTCACAGGACGTGGCTCCATTGATCACTCGATATCGAAGCATCAACCAGGCTGCATGCCTGAAGCTCCATGGATAACAATGCATGTCTCCAGTGATCTTCACGCCACTCTTCTCCTCTGCATATTGCCTCAACGTGTTGGCTAGCTTGCGGACAGACTGGACTGCTCTCTCAGCCTGACTGTTTGATGCATGCTGATCTCTTGAAGTCGTCCTCACCTCTGCGGTGAGACCAAGAGATGCACGGGCGTGTTGAATTGCTCTGAGCACCTGCCGAGTGGCTCTCTCTCCATCCGACTGGAAGATGATGGGTTGAGTATTGCAAACCTGCATACTGAATCTTGTCAGCTCCTCCGTCACCTGCTTCAAAGATGCACTTCCTTTTGCCTGTACGGGAATGCACAACGTGGCTTTGGACTCTGATTCAGCCACGTACAAGGCAGTGCCCCATTGCTTCTCTTCTGGCGCATCGGCCGTGTAAGTGAACCCACAGTCAAAACTAATCACCGGTCGGCCTCTGTCTTTCCTGTCACTTTGATCTTCCTTCATTCGTGGGTCCTCTTTCGATCTTGTTGCCACGCATTGCTGACACCACGGCTGAAATGGGAGATGTGTCAACTGGCGCAATTCTTGTTCATGTCGAGAGGGCAACTTTGGTGTCTTCAGAGGGATGGCTTCTCTTCTGCTTTCAGCGAACAGTCTTTGTGCAACTTCATATGCCATCTTCTCCTCCTGTTGATGCTTAAATCGCTGCAACCTCCTCAGGACTTTAGTCTTGGACCCTGATGTGGCCAATCCGAGCTGCTTGCAGATCTCCTGAAGATCTTTCAACTTTGTCTCCTTGTCAAACCATGTTTCATCGATCTGCACTCTCAGCTCGTCAGGATCCACGAACTCCACATCTTCCAGGATCTCTGCCCGTCCTCCACTGCCTGCTGCCAGCATAGGAAATTCTCCTCCTTCTTCATCCCTTTCGTCATCGGGCCAGGATGATGGCTCTCCACTCAATAGTGGATACTGGCTCACTGGGACCTCTGAGTTCAACACGAAGTAGTCCCGAATCAGTCCTGGGGCCACAAACGTCAAAGCTGACCTTGGACCTGCCGGTAGGGCTCGAAAAGGCAATGGTGTGTCCCTATATGCAGCTAGGCTTTCGATCTGCTCCCAAGCACCTGAATTGTCCTTCTTCTTCACGAGTGTCATGCGTCCACACCATTCAGGACCAAAGGACATGCTTGGGTCAAGGAAGTGGGTGGCTTGTGGACTCGAGTGCACCACTATCCCATTTGGCAAAGCATGCCATCCGGGCACCTTCTCCAGTAGGCCTAGCTCTCTTGAAATGAAGCCCTGCAGTGAATGCCCTTCTCCTCGAACAGGGAACACGTGTTGTCCGGCCTCCATCAATTCCTCCATTGGGCTATCTGTCAACTCCATTGGCTCGCTTTTGACCTCAATCTTCTTCAGTCGCCACTTCTCCCATCGAGCCATCTTCTCCTGCACTCTTCCATCCTCACTGCTGCTTCCTTCAACCATGATCTCGCCTCCTGACTCCTCAGTGGTGTAGCCAGGTGAACGTTGTGGGATGTCTTCATTCTCCTTTAGTCTTGACTTCTTCATGGGGTTCTCTTCCACGTGAACATCATCATCCGTCACCACCTGCTCGGAGAGCTCCTTCATCACTGCCACTGCCAAGGTCTCGTCTTCCTCCTTGGCTACTTTCTCCAACTCTATCTGCTCCTCAACACTTCTCTTCACTCCTCGATCTGCTTCCGCCTCCTCGGGAATCTTCTTCTCCTCCTTTCTTTCTTCACTTTCGTTCATGGCTTGGGCTCTGTCGTTTGCTGCCATGGCCTCAATCTCCTTCTTCTGCTCTTCGTCCACATCTTCTTCAGCTCGAATTGCACAGACCTTCGCATCCATGACCAGAGAGTTCCTTTCGAGTCTGGCCGGGATCTGCATCTTCTTCTCAGGGTGCTCCAAACATAGACCTTGTTGATCACGCGACAGCACCCATCCTTGCCTCAGGAGTCGACCAAAGCTTAGCAATGGATGTGTCACTCCGACTCCCAACGCAAACTGCTCCACGAATTCCACCATTTCTCCACTTCGAGTGTGGGCCTGAAGTCTCAACCTGCGGTTCCCAGCACTTTTGATGGCCTCTCCTTGCGCATCGACCATCTGAACTGACCGTTGCTGTCCTGGTTGACCCATCTGGTTGTACTCCTCAGGTGCAACAGAAACATCTGCTCCAGAGTCGAGGGTCATAATGACTGTAGGCGCCACACTTTTCACCATGCACACTCTGAACATGTCCAACTCCGTGTCCTCACATTGGGCTCGTGCATCGTGGCTCCCTGTCTCCTCCAACGATGAAGTACTTGGCGGCTCATCCTCATCTCCACTGTGGCAGTCATAGAAGACCTCTTCCTCCTCAAGTGCATTGTTCTGCACCTCCATCACCATGTTGATGGCCCATGCCATCTCCTCATCTTCTGACTGGACCGGCTCATCAGGCGAGTCGTCCTGGGTCAAATCGAAGATCTCCATGGTCGCCAAACCTGTAGGCGTGACTAGCCTCACCCTCCTGACTCCAGCTCGATAAGTGGAGTGGGACGACCGGCCAGTTGACGCTCCACCACTTTGGCCTTGATCTTTTCCTGATTGGCTGACTTGTCCATTCTTGTTGACCTCTGCAGCTTCCTGGTCTTCTACCTTGCTCACTCTCTTGGGGGCCCAACATTCACGAGCAAAATGCCCTGGTTTGCCGCAGTTGTGGCAATTCCCAACTCCGGTCTTGCCTTTCTTTCCATCCTGCTTTCCTGACCCCTTTCCTCCTTTGCCACCTTTCTTGCCTCCATCCTTGGACCATGAGCCTTTTCCTTTTGAATTCTTTCCCTTCTCCTTGCCCTTCTTTCCTTTCTTGCCCCCCTTCTTGCCTCCTTTTGACCATACAGCATCAACCTCCATTGGTCCACCACGGTCCTCCTGGTCCATGAGGGGCTTTACGTTCATCTGCATCGTGCCATCACTCATCCATCGTTGGCTCACTGCTCATACATCTCGACGCGTTGCCTCAGGTCTTCAAAAGTCGTGTCATCCTGCAACGTCATCTGCACGTGAAGCCTGAGTGTGGCGGGTGAGTGTGCGGGCAAGGCAGCTATCACCGAGGCAATCTTCAAGTCGTCCGGGTAGGTCACATTGGCGCTCCTCTCATACTCTCTAACCATCAGGTCATACTGCGGGAGTTGCTCTGTCACTGTTCTGCCTCCATCGAACTGGACCTTGTTCAAGGACTGGATGAGGGCTAGTGACCGCTGCCGTGTTTGAGGCTGCAAGTCCTTGGTGAGCACCCGCCAGGCCTCCAAGCCGTTCTGTCCGGCTACACCTCGCACCAAACGCAAAGGTCGTTGCTTCATGAGGCCTGTCAGCAATGAGTACAACCTCTCAGATTGGGGTCTCACCGAAGGGAGTCCGTCATTGGTCACTGACTCTTCCTTTTCAGCGTTCTTCATGTGAGCCAGCATGGTTGGGTCGACTGCCCCAACAAATGTTTCAAACTGAAACCGCCAATCCATCCACTTGTTCAACTCTTCACCTCTATTCTCGGGGGAGAAAGTCGTAGGGGGCTTCAAGTGCTTGGTGAACCCGGAGTTCCGCTGCACCTCGATCAGTCCGTGCAACGCTTGCACCAACCCCTGCACCCCAGTCACGGCACCCACGGAGGATGCCGGCTCAGTCGCTGGACCACCAGCGCCATCGTCCAGACCAGCCATGAGCGCGACCCGGATACTAGTCTGTCCGGGCCGATGAATCCCCGGTGGATTATCCCCAAAGGTTATCTGGCCTACCCACAGAGCTCCGCTACCATGAAAAGTAAAGCGCGCCGTTTTGGACACCTCGGTTTGGGCCTGTG